GGAGACTCCGGAATGTATTAGGATTTGATGAGGGTGGGGTCACTGAGGTAAGTATCATTGCATAGCTCTGGCTCTCTCTACCCTTGATGCACTCAGTGAGCAAAGACCACCTTGGCAGATAGCCAGAAGGCACTATTTGCAAGCCCCGAAGCAGACCCTCACTGGGTCCCAAACCTCTGGCTGGCACCATCTTGGACTTTCACAGCTGTCAGATAAAAATGTCTGTTATTTAACCACCAGTGGATGACTTTTGGTTGTCGCAGCCTAAGAAAACTAAGGCAGAGAGAAATAAGGTTTAAGTCACTTACATGAGATACTGTCCACGAAATTACTTGTAAGAAAAGCACGTTACTGAGTAACTTTACTGAGAGTAGCACAATGCCCAGCTTCAGAACCAAAAACCCAAGCGAGGGTCCAAACACATACCCACCTAGAAGGAATCAACCCGGAAACGAGCAAACAGAAAGATCCACGACTTCAGTCGACACCAAATTCACACACAGGATACCTGGGAGCCCTCCCGAGACCAGAAAGAGCCTCCCTACTACTAGAGTCACTAAGACATGAGCTACACCTGAGGGCCAGGATCTGCATGTAGTCCTAGCTACTCAAGAGACTGACTGCAGAAGAGAGCAGGCCTGCCTGGGCCACAGAAAGTCTAAGGCCAGCCCAAGCAGAGTAATAGATACTATCACAAAATATAGAGTAAAAACAGGACTGGGAATGTAGCTCAATGGTAGAATGCTTGCCAAGCATGATCAAGGGTTTGCTCTCCAGTACTGGAAAAACAAAAACAAAAAGAAAAAAAGAAGAAAAAAAAGCACACAACTCTCACAGACTACAGATGAAGTTCAGTGGTAGGGCAAGTAAGTACCAGCCATACAAGAGGCCCTAGGTTCACTCCCCAATGTGTATGCACTTATATACACATAAATACACACCACATTTGTACACCACAGTTGTTCACACTGCTGGACTCACTCAGCTACTCTAGATTGATGACTATGGTCAGAAGCAGTTACTAAGCCACAAAATCATCACATACCAAATTTCCACTGCCATAAAGACTTTTGCTGAAGGTTACAAGTAATAATTAAGAAACATCTTACCCTATACTAGAGCCAAATTCCTAGAAGGTTACATAAAATCACAATTCTTGATGATTCAATTGTTTGCAATGACTAGAAAGGATGACCCAAAGAATTCCTTGGTGTGTTTGGCAAAACCTCCATGTCTCCGTCTCAGCCTTGCTGGAAGTGAGAGGATGAGCTGACCTCTGTTCATGCCACACACTCAGCTTTCCAGTCAGGACAGGAACTATTTCTGGGCCCCATTTTTTTTAAAAATTTTTAAAAATTTTTATTTATTTATTATCTATACTGTATTCTGCACCAGATCTCATTACAGATGGTTGTGAGCCCCCATGTGGTTACTGGGAATTGAACTCAGGACCTTCGGAAAAACAGGCAGTGCTCCTAACCTCTGAGCCATCTCTCCAGCCCTCCAGGCCCCAATTTTAATAGCCACATTTCTCACCCATGCTTCAATTTCACATCAATCCCATCTCTTTCCTCCAACTCCACAGTCCAGGTTTCTCTATTTCCCTACTCTTCCCCAGGCTAAGTAGCCTCTTCTCCCCTCATGGGGCTTCTGTGTACTGGTCTAGAGAACATTGTCTTCCTTTCTCCCCAGGGTACCTCCTAAACCGAAGGTTTATAGCACAAGCCCAGACTCTGGAGCCCCAGAATTCCACTTTGGAAATAATGATGTCCAAAAGTTAGTGGGCCAGTCCAACAAGACTCAGTCTTGGAACCTAGTTTAGGATTGTAGTTCCATTAGGTAAGTAGAATTAACTCAGTCAACTACTGCATTCTGGGGGGGGGGGGGGGAGTTAATCCTTTGCACTCTAGGGCACTGAGTAATTTTATGATGGTCCCTTTACTCAGTAATCTCATGATTAATTTAATCCCTAGGTTATTTTTAAGTGGTAAATTTCAGCTTCAACTTAACAGACATTCAACGTTTATTATAAACTCAGGTATTATGAAGAATAAACAAAGGAAATACAATTTCTGCCTTGTAAACGCTTACAGTTTAAGGAAGTAGGCACAAAAAGCCTCTGATGACAATAAAAGATGAAACTTAAGTACGTATAAATATACCAGCAGGCAAAAACAGAGTCTGATAGTGCCAATTATGCTGTAGGTAAGTCTTCAAAGACCCAGTATGACTTCAGAAAGACTCCAGCTGTCTTTCAGATATGAGAAAAAATATATACTCCTAGAGAAAGCCATACACTAAAATGCCTGTATGACAATAAGGTACTTACACAGAGCCTCCAGGCCCGTCTAAAGTGCTGATGTTATCTCCTGACAAGGCCTGTACACCTGCTCCTTCTGTCCCACCTACACTGGCCTCCAGCGCAGCACACAAAGCTGCTTCTCTCCCAGTGTCTCAGCCCTCTGGGTTCCTCTTCCCTAAACCACTGAATGGCCTCAATCCTCTTCCCTAAAACCTCTGAATGAACCACATCTTCATTTCAAAGGTCACCTATAGAGAGACCTTCCTGCACTATCTCTAAAGTTGTCTGTTTCTCTGCTTAATTTTCTCACAAGCTAACAAAAACTGCTGATTTGTCTCTTTCCATGGGCTATTCAATAAAAGTAGGATTTCTTTATATATCCTCTAGCGTTAAAACAGTGCCAAAACACCGCCACTCAGGAGGCAAAGGCAGGAAAATCTCCAAATTCAAAGCTAGCCTGGTGTACACAGCAGGCTCCAAGACAGCCAGCTCTAGATAGAGAGATGCAGCCTCAAAAACAAAACAAAACAAACAAAACAGTGCCTAAGAGTGTCACAACTGCTGGGTAGACACTAAAGTATTACACACCCACTTTTTTGTTTAACTTTTCATTCATTTGTCTCCCTGCCCCAATCACATGCACAGTTGTTGCTTATGTTTTTTAAGAAGGCAACCTAGAAATCATTTTATACAAACACTTTTCTAAATAAGAAAATAGAGGTCCCAAAAAGTGGGTTTTCCCCAGAATAATAGAGCTAGTTAAAAACAGAGGGAGGACTAAGTCAATGATGATATTAATACCTGTATGAAGTAGCGCAAGAACTACAATAATGAGCTGGGTATGGTGGTACCCGTCTGTTATCTCAGAAATCTACTAGGAAGGTGGAAGCAGGAAGGTCAGGAGTCCAGGAGTTCAAGGTCATCCTCAGCTACCACAACCTAGGCTACAAATAAGGCCCCCATCTCAAAAAAAAAAAAACCTACAATCATAAGAATGTACAAAGGGAAAAGTAAAGAATATCCATAAATATACAGAGTAAAATAATTCTCCCAAAGGACTTAATTCCTCCTTCCTCTGAACATCCCAAAGTCCCTATGCATTACTCCATTCCCAAGAATCGCTACCCTTAGCCAATGTGAAAGCAGTCAGCAAATAACAGACCCCAGGCAAAAGAATGGGAAAGCAAAGAGAACTATTAACTAAGACTAACACAGAGAAAGTGACCACACTGTGTGTACTCCTATGTGTACACACACCAAGTGAATATGCCCACCCACCCACAGCCTCTCTGTCATCCAGTGCTAACACACCTCACTTTGTCTCCCCATTCTTCTGAGGCTCTGAGACTGACCTCACAATCCCTCTGCCTGACAGACTTCTTCAACGGGAAATAAAGGCCAGCAAACAAAAGAATTCAAAAATAAACACCAAGGGAGTCTTTTTTAACCAACAGAGGTAAGAGGGTGGATTCTGCAAAGCAGACAAGCAAACATGCCAGGCTTTAAGTACAGCTCCTTCCCTGCCACAGGAAGTCAGGCAGAGCATGGTAAGTCTGAGCACTGCAGAGATTCCCAAGGGTGGTGTAATAGGGAGAGCACAGGAATAAGAACCAGCTAACTGGGTGGCTTTAGTCAAGCCACTGTCTGCTCTGGACTTCTAATTCCCTATCTATAAAAAAGGAGGTTGTTAAAACATGCTGGAACTTGAGTACACCCTTTCCCTCCACACACACAAAAAAGATGCAAAGTACTGACTTCACTGAAAGTGCACATAAGCCATTCTGCATAACTCTTCCAAGTCTATTAGACTGAGAACTCCCGGCAGAAAAGAAGATGGGTATCTCTGGCCCCTTCCATCTCTAACATTCTATGGTTCTAAAAGAATTTAACAGCATCCCATTGCTGCTGGGTGAGCCCCTCCACTTCATAGCTAATATTTTCTAAACAGAGACTGAATCCTAAAGCCTATAAAGGATTCATGCCCTTCCTCAAACTAAGTCAACCCCTCATCAGTCAGCTTACCCTTGAGGCCACAACTCAGAAACCAGTCTCCTAACAACCCTATAAATTTTCTTTTCTACCCCGGGACACTAAGGAACTCGTCCGACGAATAAAGAATGCAACGGGTAAAGCATGCCTGCTGGTGTCCCTCTTCAGACTTACTAACATGCTGCACAAAATTAATGAGACTGAGCAACACGTCCCTCCACACTACCAAACTCCGCGGACTTCTCGGGACTCCCGTGTAACTGACTGAACCCACAAGCTAAGCCACATCCCCTTCAGGCTCTCTCCAGGAGTTAGTCGGCTGGCTTTTCAGTCTGTCCTCCACATGCCGCTCCCCTCTCCCCATCCCAATGTGCCCAGAGTAAACCAAAAGGCTTCTCGGGAGCTTGCCCACTAGCTTCCCCCGCTCTCGACTCGGCCCAACAGTTCTCCTCTGGACAAACAGATTCAGGACGCCCCAACTTCTCGAGGAACTGGGGACGGGCTTAAGAAACAGACTGCATCCCGATCCTGATCAATCTCCCAACTCCAAAAGGAAAACCCCACTCCCTCGCGCTGCCTCCGGGGCCCCCTTATGGGCACAGCCCCTGCACCGGGCCCCAAGCCCACTCTCTAGCCAGGCCCACCCGGCGCCCCAAGGCCCGAGCCCGCCGCGGCCCGCCGTAACCGGGCGCCCGTCCCGCGCAGTCACCTGCATCCCGCCGTCGGCCGCCTCCTCGGTGCGCGGCCGCTTGCTCACGCCGGGCTCGGGTCCGTCTGGCCCCGCTCCGGGCACCGGCAGTTCCAACTCCGACTCCCGCTTCATGCCCCGGGCAGCGGCACCGGGCCCAAGCTGAGGCGGCTGCTGCTGCGGCTGGCCGCCTTCCGCCATCCGCCCGCGCCCCCTTCGCCTCCGGGAGCCGGGCGACCCGCGACAGGCCACCTCCCCCTGGGCCTAGGAGCCGACAGTCGCGACAAGCGGGCGCGCGCCGGCCCCGCCCCCCGCGTGCGTGCGTGCGTGCGCGCCGGCCCGGAGTCCCGCTTCGGCTTCGGCACCGCTCCGACTCAGGCTTCGGCTGCGGCTCCGGTTTCTGCTCCGGCTTCGCGCCGGCCGGCCGCTAGCTCACTCGCTCACACGCGCGTGCGCCGCTCCCTCGGTCCCTTGGTCCTTCGGTCCCGCGCTCCCTCACCACTCGCCCGCTGCGCGAGGAAGGGGGCGGCCCGGGCTCCCGGCGTGGGGAGGGCTGTTTATTTGGGAGGAGGAGGAGCGCGAAGCCGCAGGCACCTCACTGGTCGGGATCCTCAATCCCGCCACTGTGGCAGCGCCGGGAAGGCGGGGAGAGAGAAAGGACGGAGCGAGGGAGGGACCTGGATGTGTGGGACTCGGGCCGCCCGCGCGAGAGGAGGCTGTGGCGAGGGGGCGTGGCTATGCGGCCGCCTCCGCGCGGGCAGCCCGCGGGAGGTCGGGAAGGGATCGGAAAAGCTCGGGAATCTCCGGGATGCTCAGGGAGGCTTGGAGAGGGAAGGGTCCGCCTCTTTTAGGGCGGCGGCCGGAGGGAGGAGCTTGAAGGGGCTGAGTACGGGGCTGCCGCTCTGGCTAGTTGTATTAGTTGTGCGAAGTGGTGACCCGATCGATCCCTGACTGTCTGAGATTTAGGGGAACAGTGGGGCACTCGGCGAGAGGGGAGTCTCTTTGCCTGCTCCTCTCCCTCCCAAAAACTGGGAAGTTCAGGGATGAAGGCTCCCATATATACTTTTCTGAGAAATTTTGCTATGAATAGAATGATCGCATTCCTGATGATCTTAATGATGCCTGATGTTTATTAGAGCTTTACGGTTTACACAATGCATTCACGGACCCGCTTTGAGCCTGCTAATAAAAAGAGCATACTTTCAGTCTGAATGGATGAACCTGAATTTGCTGGAGCAGAAACATGGTCCATCCAGCATTCTCTTGTTTTCACTGCTTGCTGCCCCAGTAGCCCTTCACTGCTTATCATCTTCATGCAGTTGTGTCTGTCCAGAAGGTTTTCTCTGCCTGGTTGTAAATGGATACTGAATCTGCCTCTCTGGGTCCCATACTGTCACATGAACATTGTCAGGGAATGTTGCACAATAGCATAAATTCTAGCCTTTCCCTCGCTTGCTACTTTAAACGAGTTAGTTTTTCTCTTTGGATCCCAACTGCAGTATCTGTAAAATAGTCATTTGGGTCAGTGGTTCCCAACCAGGGGAGGGTTGGTACCTTTCCAACACCTATTTCCTTATTTGCTGTTTGATAAATTTTCTTTTACACAAATGGAGGCTGCTGCTAGCATCTAGTGAATAGAGGCTGGGTATGTTGTTCAAGACTTTACTGTGCATAGGACAGTCCCCACAAGAGAGAGCTGTCCAAATCAGAATGTCAATAGAGATTGGGAAACCCCGGGTTAGATGATTTCTAAGGTCACTTGCAACAGCAATAACTTGGCCTTTAAACTTGAACTAAGCCCCTAAAAATGGTGAAGATCTCTGCTGCAGAGTCAGACCAGCCCAGTGAGGCCTGATGTGCAGGCTAATTGGGAAAGACTGCCTTGAAGCTGGGCTTTCCTACTGAGCACACTATGTTTCTAGGCAGCAATAGCTCAGCCGTTTACAAGTCTTGACACCTTATGGAAGGGAGCCAATTAGTGACTCTTGTCCCTCTGCTTCTACAACTAAATTAGCATAATGGTATTTTTAAAAGCATTATTATGAAGATCAAATGAGTTATCAGCATTCAGAACTTTGATCATGTTGTGACTTGAATCAAAAATGTCCTCCAAAGGCTCCTGTGGTAACAGCTGATAGACTTGTGTCAAGTATTTGGGTCATGAGGACCTAAATTACTAGGGTCTAATGACCTACACAGTGGATTGATGCATTGATTGATTCATAAATGGGGGGGGGTGTTGGGGGGATGGTAGAAGCCGTGGAAGATGAGGACAGATTGAAGGAAGTGGGTTGCTAGGGCCATGCTCTGAAAGCCTATCCCTAGTCCCCAACCTCTTCCTCTGTTTGTCTCCAGCCTCCTCCAGTAAACCTGGAGGTGAGTTTGTTTGTTCCACCAGGGAATCCTTGCTGTGGTGATGTTTATGCCTTGCCACCCTCTCTCAGACCCAGGAGCCACAGAGTGACCAGGACCTGGAATCATGAGGCAAAATAAATCCTTCTCCTTTACATTGTTGTCTCAGATTCTTTCCCGCTGAGACAAAAAACTAACCAACAAGTTCAGGACGTTATTTGTGTTAGTTACTGACATTATTGCCATTGCAAATTTTATTTATTTAGGTATTTGTGTGTGTGTGTGTGTGTGTGTGTGTGTATAGGCATCTACATGACACAGCACACATGTGGAGGTCAGAAGAAAACCTTCAGGAGTTGGCTCTGTCCTTCCACTGTGAGTTCCTGGGACCAGAATTTCTCAGCCAGAACTTTTACCCACTGAGCCATCTTACTGGTCCAGTCGTTATGGTTTTATTCCCATTGTAGCTCAGATCGACCAAATATATGTTTTTTTACCAAAATCAAAAACTGTCATCACTATTTTTTAGGCTATTAAGTGTTTGGGGCACAGTGAGCTAGCATGATCTCTTTTAGGGGCTAGATAGTCTTGAATAATCTACTCAATGAAGGGCACTTAGTCCAACTTAATGTGCATGTGTTCTTTCCATACTGACGGAAACCCTGCTGGCTCATGCTTAGCCGGTATTTCTGGATCCAACTGTGACAGTTAGCAGACACAAGAGTGAAAACCCTTGCTGAATTTTCAGGGGTGATTTCAGCTACAGTGGCCCATCTTGCATCAGCTACAGATGCCCAGCAAAGGAAACGAGTTAATTATTATTGAGGTTGCCACATAAGGTGTCTTGGATGAGGCTCCATCAGATTCAGATGGGATGGACAAAGCTCCACAAGTCACCCAGGGATGTAACTACTAATGTCAAGCCAATTATTCATTGTACTAAGCCTTGCATCCCTCTTTTGTAAGATGACAATAATAATCATAGTCATGATGTTTTTCTGAACCTTAAATGAAAGCATTTAAAAGAATGTCTAACGTAGTAACTGCTTAATAGGTAGTAATTATTTGTCATCTAACTTATAAGGTGCCAATAAGCTACTGGCCAGGAGTTCATAGGTCTGGGAGTGGAAACCCAGACATCTCTTACTATGACTGCTTCCACCACCAAAGTGGAAGCCCCCCTTCCTACCAGCTTATTGTGCTTAACTAGACAGCTCCCACTTAAGTCCAGGGTCTCCTACAGGCAGTGTCCTACACGGAACAGACGGAGCCTGATTCTGTCCACCCAACCGTGATAGTTAGAAGGAAAATCAGGGTGTCTCAGGGCTGGCCTGTAGAGCAACAATGCTGGGTTTTTGTTTTTTTTTTTTCAAGCCTAAGAACATAAATGGTTGTTTTCTTGATTTTTTAACTTGCTAAACTGCTATCTTTAGAATAATTCTTCCCTCCCTACCTGCTTTGCCAAAAATCTATCATCTAAATAATACCAGCTCTTTGAAAAATAAGATTTGGGAACAGAGCTGCTTATTACTCCAATTATAGCTGCTCGAGTAGTACCAAAATCCCTCGGAAGTAGAGCAGTGAAATGGAGGAATGTTTGGATGATTTGGAACAAAGAGGAACAGCACCATGCTTTGTAAACACACATAAAGCATTTAAGGAACAAGAAGAGACTAGAAGAAGCCCATAAGATGGCTCAGCAGTTAAGAACATTTGCTGCCCTTGCAGAAGACCTGGGTTTGATTTTCAGCACTTGCATGGCAGCTTACAACTGTCTGTAACTCTAGTTTCAGGGCATTCAACACCCTCTTCTAGCCTTTGAGGACAATACACACACATGGTACACAGAGATTTATGCAGGCAAAAACATAGGTATAATATAAAAATAAATAAACTTTTTTTAAAAAAGAGAAGAGACAGCCAGGCGGTGTTGGCACACTCCTTTAATCCAGGAGGCAGAGGCAAGCAAATCTCTGTGAGTTTGAGGCCAGCCTGATCTATACAGAGAAACCCTGTCTCAAAAACGAAAAACCAAAAGAGAGAGAGAGAGAGAGAGAGAGAGAGAGAGAGAGAGAGAGAGAGAGA